CCCTTTTTGGAACTCATGGAAGTTGACGTGTGAGAGTATATGTATCCTTAGTATAAATATCTAGCTATTATCTTTGAAGAAAATCTAGTCCGGTGATGGTAAACCTTTTTGGCCTTTGAATAACAGCCTGCTGCAGCATGCATGCCATAGGTTCACTGCACTCACTAGTCCATATTTCAGTTCTGATGAAAATAATTTTATCCTTCATTAATAATGGGAACTCTGGTTGGCTTTTTCTGATTTTTTTTTTTTTTGGTACCTGGGATCAAACTCGGGACTTTGCTCTTGTGAGGCAGGCAGTGGCACCGCTCAGCTAAATCTTTCCCCGCCCTTTCTGAAATATTCTTAAATAATGAACTTTTCATGATTCATTTATATAGTAGGTGACCACAGGACAGAAAGCAAATTGTGCATCCATCTCAGTAAAGTTTTATCATTGTAAAGTCTGATTATTTAAGCTGCCAATGGTTATAGGAGAGCAAGATAGATTCTTAACAGTGTTGATCACTAGCTCTTAGATTCTTTGTAAGTCTAACTGCTGTCAACCTATTGATGTTTCAGACTTAATCTGTTATGTATTATATATTTCTCCTTTTTCTACTGAATTGTTATCAGTATTATCACTGCTGTTTTTTAAAAATGTGCAATTATAAATTCTTAGTCCTTGATGATTTTCAGATCTACTTAAGACCTGTTAGATGTAAACAAGAAAAGTAATTAAGTTTCATTTTATGATTGATTTTTTTCTGCAAAAAGATGTAACTTACTTTACTACTATTATCAATTTTTGAAAAGTTTTTTGGTGTATTTTACCCTTTTTTTGGAGTTGAAAAATTAAGATCCAACCCATTAAGCAGAGGATTAGAGTTTAGCACCATGACGAGAAAGTTGTATTTGTTTTATTGTCTGTTAAGCAAACCTTTGCATTTTACTTGCTTCTTGTTTTCATTTTCTTTGGGGTATTTTTTGTTTGTTTTTGAGACAGTATCTCACTTTGTAGTTCAGGCTGGCCCTGAACTCACTATGTAGCCCAGGTTGGCCTCGAGGTGATCTTCCTGCCTCAGCCTCCTGAGTGCTGGGATTACAGGTGTGCACCACAGTACCCAGCTAAACAAATTTTTAATGTGTGTGGAATTTGATGGAGGGGGCTGGGATTTGGAGGAATAAAGGTTAAAACCTTACTAGAATATGCGTTGTATCTGGCTACTTTCAGAGGATTTAATACCTCATTTGCCACTAATGGGGAGTTAAAGTAAAAATGAATTTTATTTAAAGGACTTGTTAAACTATCAAGAATATGTTTAATATAAATAGGTACATTTGAGATCTGAGATGATTTTAGCAGTATATTAGGCCGAACTCCAGAGATTCCCAGTGTTACTTAGTGAAATGTAAAATAACTAATGTATTTCAAAAAGCACATTTTAAAGATCTATAATAAAACAGAGCTTATCTCAAGCTCTTTAGTGATTTGAGACTATCTTATTCCTGTTTCTATCCAAGCAGGAAACAAGATACTGAGTGGTTTAGTAAGCACTCATTCATTCTGGACTCTGAATGCTTACTGTGTGCAAAGCTCCAGACATGTTGGTGATGACAGAAATCACTTAGTCTTTGCCCCCTAAGATGCTTATGTTCCAGTAGGTTCATGGAATTATTAGTTTATAGTTAGTATACATGTATATAGATACAGATAATAGATATATTTTTGTGGTGCTTGGAATTGAGTTCAGGTCCATAGTGTGCTAGGCAAGTACTCTCACTGAACTACACCCTCAGTCCTTTATTCAGCATTTTAAAAAAGAAATGTAGATCTCAAAATGTGTCACACATAGGAATGACATGCCATTTTGCAAAGATTTGTTTCAGTGCATGAATTTATGTGCAATGGATTGTGATATGAATTTTTTTCTGGTACCAGTAGTCAAACTGAGGACCTTGTGCTTGCCAGGCAGGTGTGGCACCACTGAGCTACATCCCCAGCCCATAAAAAATTTTTTTAATGTGCCTTGGGATCAAAAAGTTTAGAACATTTTGGAAGAAAATAAAACTTCTTGGCATACATGATTACTCCAGACAACCTTGCTTAAAAATAAGGAAAGCTAAGTACTTAGATTACAGGGTTGTATAAGGTTATCATCAGACATGAGACTAAAATGGTAAGACCAGGCCTTGGATCCCCAGCTAAGAAGTGTCCTCGGTAGTGGAGAAAATGGCAGGAGTCTTTTATTTAGGAAAGCAAGTAGTTTAAGTTTTTTAAAATACTTAATATATATATTTGGTTGAAAGCCCAAGAAATACTATATAGCATTGTCTAAGTTACTTTGTCATTGCTGGGACAAAATATCTTACACTCACAAATAAAGGAGGAAAGGTTTATTTTAGCTCATAGTTTACATGTAGTGGTTTCAGTCTGTAGTTGGCTGACTCAAAAACAGGGTGGCATGGCAGAGGAGAAACAGTCCATAGCATGGCAGGCAGAAGGCAGTGAACCTTCCTTCTTTCCCTTTGTATTCCATCTAGACTGCAGGGTCATTTGTTGGTACAGCCCACACCCAGGGTGGCCTTCTCTCCAATAAATCCACACCAAGAACTATGCTCAACCAGTTAGTAGACTAATCCAGTATCACACACCCGTGATCCAGTCACTCCCAAGTGGCCCACATATGAGCTCATGAGGCTTTGGGGAGGGGCATCTAGATACAAGCCATAACAAGCATATAGTGAAAAGTCTCACCTCTGCCCCATCTTTCAATCTCCTAGCTAGTTTTCCGCTGAGGACATTACTAGATTTTTTGGTATCTTTCCAGAAATATTTTATGTATGTAAAAGCAGTTATGTATATTTGTATTTGTTTGTTCAATTTTTTGCATAAGTGAGAATAGATCATGAACCATCTAATTCTATCCTTTACCTTTTTACACCTATTATGAGATTTATCCATAACAATACTGTAGATGCAAACTACTTGAAAGATTGTTGAGGAAGGAAGATTTGGTTTGTGTTACTATGTAGTATTTGAAGCTAAATTAGAGTAGAGTGTTCCCTTTGAATTTGACCCCAAACTCACCTTGGATGTTCTTGCCTTAAATTATTTTTTGGGTACTGAGATTGGAACTTAGGGCCTTATGCCTCCTAGGCAAGCACTGTACCACTGAGCTGTACCCCCAGCGAACCTTGTACTTCTTAAAACACCTTCCTTTTAAACACAGATGATGACCTAGCTTATGTCTCACTATTACTAGTTTTTTTGTCCATTTTCCTCTGCCTTTTTACTCCTGACCAGAAAAGTTTTCCTGACTTAAAGTTGCCTAAAGGCCAGGTTAAGGTCCTCAGCTCTTTGCTTATCCCCACTTCAGCACCTAACATACTATTACATCTTTCTGGTCAGTTTTCTCATTCTATTACATGAACAACAGTTGCAAATATATTTGTTTTTGCTTTGTTTTTTGAGACAGGGTCTTGCTTTGTATTTCAGGCTGCCCTTGAACTTGCTATGTAGACCAGGTTGACCTTGAGCTCGAGGTGTGCTCCTGCCTCAGCCTCCCAAGTGCTAGAATTATAGGAGTGTGCCAAACATTACTTCTTGAATACTTACTATATCTTCTTTACAAGACCAAAAAGTATTAAAGAACTTAAGGATGCATTACGACGTGAATGCTTTCTAACATTAAAGAGAGTCAAGAAGTCAGGATTTATCAAAAGATAAATAGTTTTGACTTAATGATAAACCAGTGTGGTATGATTGGTGCAAAACCTTTTGGATTCACTGGCAGCTGAGGCAACTAAGAACTCACTGGAAGAAGTGGGACCTAGTGTGTATTTGTCTCATATGAGAAGATAAATAGATGTGTCATGAACTGGTTTATGGGAGAAAGAGCATAGCGGAAGGGAATTGGATAAGCAGGATTTAGAGAAGTTCTGGAATTGGGAAAAGCAAGAAGATGTCATATACACTAAGTCACATGACAAAATCTAGGCAGGGAAATGAGAAATGCTGAGAAAATGGGTCAGGCATTCAAAAAGAACTTTGAAATACAATGAGTGGAATACTGGAGGAAGGAGGACAGTGTGAAGAGGACCAGTGTGAACAGAAAGGTGCATAAAATAAATATTAACATACCTTTAGGCATTTGTGGCCTAACACCAGGTCTCATGGAATGTGGCCAGAGGAGACTCAGCTTTCCTATACCTCCAGATCTGCTGAATCTCATTGGCTTTCTGTCTCCTGGTGAGATGTAGTAACTTCCCTCCAATGGTATAAGTAGGTTTCTTTAAGCTTTCTTTTCATCTGCTAATTTATTTACTGGACATGCACACTGAGAATGACATTCAACTATATATGTATTCATAAAATTCAACACCGACAAAACTCGGATGCTGCCCCCTCTGGAGTTTATTTTAATGGGTTTTTTTGTCTTCTCTTGTGGTGTGAATCCCTGTTGGGATTGTAGATTATATCTGAGTTCACCAGAAATTGACCATGCTTGTTTTAAATTTGAAAGATTTTGATACGTGTAAGAAACTGAAATCTAAAGCTTGTTCTTTTTGGGACTTGAGTATAATAGAAGACCAGTTCAACTATCAATTGTAAAAATGCAGTCATTTCTTTTGTAAATAATGTTTATTCAGATGTGCAAATTTTCAAACTTCTGTGAACTGAAGAATTAGAGAAGTTTTCTTGGTATTTAATTGTACCATACTTATTTTAATACTGTTAGCAATAATTTCTGCTTTATTCTATTTGGGAAAACCCAAGGAAGTATAAGTTTTAATTCATTTGAGGTAGGAATCCCTGATCCATCTGATATATAAACAATTAGTGAGGTTATCTTTAAACTTGAAATAGAATTCTGCTTGTGAAAATAATTAACATTTTAAAGAATAACACAGCTTTTATATGTAGCAGTTATTACAAATTGGTTATTCTCACAGAGTGGAACTTGGCTTGATTCCTTCACTGCTTAACCTCTAAGGCAATAATAAATAATTTAAAAAATATATATATAGACCACTTCACAAATCTGAGTGTTATCCTTGGGCAGGGCCCATGCTAATCTCTGTATTGTTCAAATTTTAGTATATGTGCTGCCTAAGTGAGCACTTAACTTTTTTTTAAATGTACATTGGTCCTGAATTGTGTCTTAAATGAATGAAAAACTCATTTTAATAAGCTGATGTGGTAGAAATATCAAAATAATGAGAATTTATATAAATAACTGAGATACAAACCTTCTATCCTCTTCCTAAGAAAGCATATGTTTAATCTTTCAGGCTGTAGAAAATCTCTGTTCTTACAAGATTTCTGCGAACTTATACAAACAACTGAGACAGATTTGTGAAGATCACATCAAAGCACAAATTCACCAATTCAGAGAATATCCTTTTTTTAAAAAACGTTACATTTTTGTCTTCTCCCTCCCTCCCTGACCCAGCTTAAAGTAGAATTGCATGTGTTTTGTGGATTGGTTATTTTTGTCCTTTGTGTTTCTAAAGTAAGAGACAAATGTTTGACTTTTCAGCTTTAAATTAGAGTTCAAATCTACATGTCATATTCATGAAATGAAATTTCTCTATGTGTTTTACTCTTTTGTTCTAACAAATTCCCATTTGAGGAAAGATAATCTTCTGAGGGAAATCATAAATTGAAAGCATGGTGCTCAATTATATTTAAGATTTGTTCTTGGGCTGGGGATTTAGCTCTGTGACTGTCTTACAAGCGCAAGGTCTTGAGTTCAATCCTCAGTACCAACAAAAAAGGCTTGGTTCTTAAATGTGTTTTTTAATGGGATCTAAACTGTTTCTGCCAATTAAGAAATTGTATTTTGTTCAATAATTAATAATTGAGTTTCATTTCATATACAGTATATTCCATATATAAGACAAATGGTCTTTTACGTTGCGTATATTGTATCGAGCACTTTATCTTTAACATATAGCTCATGGATTCATTGGATAGTGTTCTTTTTCTAAAGAAGATTGATCGTTGCTGGCAAAACCATTGTAGGCAAATGGTAAGCTGGAAAAAGTATCATATTTCAGCCAAACATTGTCAGTTTTTTTCAAGTATGAGAATGTTAATTTTTTTGGTTATGTTTTGTTTTATTTGGTGGTACTAAAGTTTGAACTCAGGGAGCGTTGAACTACAACTCCCACCCCAGCCTTTTCATTTATTTATTTTGAGACAAGATCTCCTTAAAATTGCCTAGTTAGACATCAAACTTGTGATCTTCCTGCCTCAGCCTTCTGAAAAGCTGGGATGCCTGGTGTATATCACCACTTCTGGCAGGAATGTTATTTTTAAAAGCTTTGCAAATAGTTCTTTTTTTGAACTGGAAACTAATTTTGGTTGAGTTTTTAAAGTTTAGAAGTTCAAATTTAAGGTAAGCCAATATTTTAAAGTGACTTGTATCTTAGAGTTATTTTAATTTTTGTCACACTTAAAATTATTTACCGCATTAAAAAGTTATATTTTATCTCTCAGTCTGGCGGTACTGGTTCTGGGGCTTGAACCCAGAACCTCATGCATGCTAGGTAAGCACTTTATTTCTGAGATATATCCCCCGCAAGTCTTGTGGCTCCCCATTCACAATATGATTACCTGTGAAGGTATCTGATGGCATTTTATTCAGATCACCTTTTCCCTTCTCCCAAGTCTAGTATTAGTTTAATCTTTATATTCTGCAAATTAAAATGTTAAAGTACATTGTCTACTGTACTTGTTAGAGGCAGTACCCCCCCACAAGTGCTACAGATACAATTTAAGGTAGCTTCACCCCTAAGTGCTGTCACTAAGGAAGAATTTTATGGGTTTACCCTTGATTCCTTGTTTTTATTTTGAGTTATTTCTCAAGTAGCAAAGAAGTCAGGACCATTTTAAGTATCTCTTCTAGAAACCACTCAAGGAATAAGACAATAGAATACCTTAATGAATTGAAAATAGTATAGGCATCTTCTCAGGTAGATGTATTTATCTGCATGTTGCATCCTACTAGTCTAGTGTAAAACCTTTCAGTTTTCTTATTTATTTATTGATGTATTTTTGGTACTGGGGATCAAACTCGGGACCTTGTGCTTGTGAGGCAGGCAGTGGAACCACTGAGCTAAATCCCCAGCCTTTCCCACTGGTTTTTAATGTCCATCTTTCCACAAAAATTATGGTGTATGTCTAATGGTATATTTTTCTCATTTTTTCTATTTATTAATTGGAATTCTTCAATAAGACTGGGCCATTTTTCCCAATTTTTAGATGATTTCTGGGCTCATGTGGAGCTGACACTTTAGGCTTCATTATATTTGTCATCATTTGTAAAACTATATTGATTTTCTGTCTAATTGATATAGGTCTGTCCCCATATTAATCAAATAGTCCCTAAGCAGCAGTGTTGCTTATTTTATCGAGTGACTATTTTGGTTTCACAAGTATAAAAATTATTTACTTTTTCTTTTTCATTGACAGATCATGATTAGGAGCATTTTTTTGTTTTTGGATAGAACTTACGTTCTTCAGAATTCAATGCTACCCTCCATTTGGTAAGGATGTGAGAAAAATAATTATGAATATTATAAAGATTTGTTATACAAGGGAGGAGGGAGGGAGGGAGGGACAAGAAAAACAAAAGCGAAAGGGCCTGGGATTTAGTGCAGTGGCACCACATCTGCCTGGCAATTGCAAGGCCCTCAGTTTGATTCCCTGGTACCAGGAAAAAAAAAAAAGTGAAACTAGAAGAAAAAAATCGGGGGGAAAAGCTTCTGTACATAGGGAGAGGGGGAGGAGGTTTGAGGGGAGAATGGGATAAAATAAAATTGAGTTTTAAAAGATTTGTTATAAATCAGTATTACGCTACTGAAAGAGAGCAAGTAGTACTGTGAATATTCTGAAAGTACACATTTGGCTTCTAGCCTTTTGTAGCAAGTTTACCTACTCAATTATATTTTGCCTCTGCTGATATTAAAGATAGCTAACTTTCCCTGAGCGTATTTTTGTTAGGCGAGAGGATTAAAATTTGCTCTAGAGTATCTATAAGTGAATTATTTTGCTGATCATCAAGAGTTTATTTATGTTTGCTGGGCATGATGGTACACATCTGTTATCCCAGCACACAGGAGGCTGAGGCAGGAGAATTGCTGTGAGTTTGAGGCCAGCCTGAGCCACAGTGAGTTCGAGGCCAACCTGAACTATACAATTAGACCTGGTCTCAAAAAAAAGTTTACTTATTTTTTTAACATTGTTACGGGAAAAAAACAATGTTATGGAAAAGTCTGCATACACAAAAATAGAGTAATATAGTGAACTCTTCCTCTCACTATGTATCTAGGATAAATCTACAGCAGTGATCATAGTTCACTGATTTTGGAGTACTGTTAGTATATGACCAAATAAGCTTTCAATACCAGTACAGTGAAAATTATTTCATATACTGGAACTAATTTTATCTCCTGATATGATCAAGGAAGAAACCTATAAGAGGAAATAATACAGTAAAAATTAGTTATAGAGGAAGACAAGTGTTTAGCTTCAGTTCTCATTAAAGATACAATGAGTTTCTTTAATGTTTTTATGTGTGGATTTTATCCTTTTAAAATTGCTGCTTCAAAGCCTGGAGCTATAATTAATATGAGGTAAGAAGTTAAGTAAGGCTCTTCAGAAGCAGTATTGTCAATTAATTTAGATTATATGTTTTATATTTTAGGGACATGGGACTGGAGTTATTTAGGGCTCATATTATAAGTGATCAGAAAGTCCAAAATAAGACAATTGATGGCATTCTTCTCTTGATTGAGAGGGAAAGAAATGGTGAAGCAATTGATAGAAGTTTACTCCGAAGTCTTTTAAGCATGCTTTCTGATTTGCAAGTAAGTTACTTTACTACCTATAGAGCTGATTGCTGTCCCTAGTTTGATGATTAAAAACCGCATTCATGGTGCTGTTCAAATAAAAGACATCAGTAAATATTTATTAAATAAATGAATTCCTTTGTTTTCCCCTTCTCCCCCAGATTTATCAAGATTCCTTTGAACAACGATTTTTGGAAGAAACTAACCGGCTGTATGCAGCTGAAGGCCAAAAGTTAATGCAAGAAAGAGAGGTATTTAAAATTCGTGATTAGTAAATCCACTATCATTTACCATAAACCTTACTTTGTAGAACATACACTTCCCTTTGCATTTATCTTCCCAGTTTATGATGCTGTTTGCTCACTTAGGAGCTCCTTTCTTTTCTTTCTTCCTAAAGGCCAGAATTCTGGATCATAGACCCTACCTATAATTTTACATATGATTTAGCCCTGTCACATTTGACAGGGCTGCTTCCAGGATCTTTTGGACTTGACATTTTCTGAATGATTTATGGGGAGGAAAACAATAATATAAAAAACTTATCTTTGTAGGTTCCTGAATATCTTCATCATGTAAACAAACGTCTAGATGAAGAAGCAGACAGACTTATTACCTACTTAGATCAGACTACCCAGTAAGTATTACATGTTAAGCCTCATAGCCTTAAAATGTTGTTAAATCACTTACAGCACTTTAGGCATATTAGTAACTATTTTCAGATATTATTGAGACTTTAATGATTATTTTCATAATTCAGATTTCAAGTTATTTTTTCCCTAGCTAATTAGATTTATTCAAGTATTTGACTATGGGTTGTGTGTTCAGGACATAATTTTAAAATAGTATTAGAGGCCGATGTGATCTTAAAAATCTTTAGGCTGATTAAAATTCAATGGGTATTCATAGGGAAAAACTGTTTCTGTACTTTCCTAAATACCAACCAAGGTGTGCAGCATAAATAACTTCTTTACTTTCCTAATAAAAGTAGAAAAACTTGGAAAACGCTAGCCACAGCAAGACCATGGAGACATTTATTTCATGACGTAAATCAAATTTTGAAATGCACACTATTTTTCTTCTAGGCATAAAGTAGAATAATTTTGAGCACTATTAAATTTTTACATAGGATAAGAATATTAGAACTAGCATAAAATGAGCTATTTGATTATTATCCTCAGAGGCATTACATTTTTTGGAACATCAAATTCAGTAATTCTAAACTTTTTCCTTGTAGGAAATCATTAATTGCTACTGTAGAAAAACAAC